AAAAAGGGACTTTTTGTCAAAGTAAAGGACCAAATTAGGGTTTTAACCTAAAATAAACTAATCAAGACTTAGAAAAAATTAATTTAAATTTGAATTTTTTTCTAATTTAAGAACAAGAAAAATATCCAAAATGGCATTTAAGTCATTGGCGGACTTGTGGACCAAATTTGACTAGGGTTTGGTTGGCATTAAAAAGAAAAAAATGGAAGGAAAAAAAGTCTTCTTCTTCCGAGTTTTCTATTTTGACTTAAAGATTAGTTTTGGCAATTCTAATTGGATTGTAATGGTAAGTCTTTTATTCCCTATTAATATAAATAAGAGTAGAAAATAGAAAACTCTAGTTGATTTTTCCATTATAGAATTTTAGGCAAATAAAATTATTCTATCAAAACTTGAAGGAGAACAAATTGAATTTTTTATTTCTAGCACCTTTAGAGGCTTAGTTTTCTTCAAATCCTTAAGCATACATGTGGATTTTTGTTGGAAGAATTCTACACTTGGATTCTTGGTTGGCTTCGTTGGAGGACAATGAATAGATTTAAATATCAACAAGGCATGCCTCATTGAGTTATTGATCATAAACCATGCTTTAACTATCAATTGATTCATGAGGATTTTAGCTAAGTTGAAAGAGAACAAGATTAAATTTTGAAATTTTGTTTGCTTTGGTTGTGCTTTCCTAAAACCCAATAGGTTCCACATCAAGGTTTGTTAAATGACCCAAATCAACCCAAATATTAACACCTATTTACAACCAATGAATCTTCAACCGTTGGATTGTTGATCGACCCTAAAACCAAATACTCAAAATTATGAAAATGCCAATACATATATATATAGGCTTTCTCCTTCATTTTTAGGGATTTTTTTATCACATTGAGTTCATTTTTTTATCAAGATTATCTTTATGTTCTACATAATTCCTTTCTCATGAGCCACCAAAAAATTTAAAGGCCTATCTCTTTCTCAATCCAAGCTCTCATATTTTCCAAAAATCTCCAACTTTAACATTATTTTATTCACTTCCAACCAACATTTATCATCATTGGGACACTATGGTGGGATGATTACCTTTTTCTATGTAAGGTTTTGTTGAGAGATGGATTTGTATGGTTGCAAAACCAATGATGTGTGCGGATCCACATCAACAAGGGCCCACAACGCTCATTTCCCATGATGGATGTACAGTCCCTATTTTTTACTGATTGCTACAATGGAGTCAACATCACTAGAAGTAGTACTCAACATTATTGTCTTATATATCGCCAGGAGTGGCATTTATCCACTTCATCGGGAATGATACAAGCATGTTCCACTTCAATAACATTTCTTACACATGGTCAGACATGGCTACATTATCTGCACAACATGGCTGAGCATTTTTTACGGTCATGTTCTCTACAGCAATGTTTACTGCTATGTATTTTGGCTCCCCAATAATGGATAAAGAGCCTATTTACATGGCTCCCGTCAATGGACAACAGGTTGATCTTATTATATCTACACAGCTCCCAACGATGGACAAAAGGCCAGATTTACTATTTCATTTAGCCTCCAACAATGGACAAAAGGTTACACATTTCTACATATTCTATCTCACTAGCTCCCGAAAACGGACAAAGAGTCAACGCAACTCAGTACGATTAGCGTGAGGCTGGTAATAATTGCAACCCTATGATTGGATGGGATGGCTACCCTCCAATGATAAAAATCCATCAAGTAGCAGTCGATGGCGCCTTAATGGTCACTCGTGCATGGTGGTGCGGTGCCCGACAAGCAACAACAACCAAGACCATCCACTGATAGTGCAGATACGGTAAGAAGGGCCAACATTTATCAGTGGTATCACACCTTGTCATTTCGGAGGCCATGGATGCGGCTTGCATCCGCCTTCCATGGAAACAACTCCACCTTTCTTTATACATATCCATCGCTATGGCGGAGTCTAGTCTAATGAGATTTATCCCTTCGCGGCTTGGCAGATTAGTAGGAGTGCTTTTCCGATTCTACATAGTTCACGCTTTAGCCATGGACAAAGTTAGCCACTGTTCTCCCTATGGCTATGGGAAGGCTATGCATGGCTAACCTTGCAACACATACATAACATGGCCAGAGGTCATGCACATTGTCATTCTTGTACACAAAGGGATAAAATTACCAATCGCCAGTAACCCTGACTCATAACACAAATTTTCTATGTCTTACGTGTCAACAGGTATCATCGGCTAGCGAAGCTTGACTCGGGACAATGATATCGCTATAAACGCCCATACCACTTGTTCCTCATTCTGGTGCAACGCCAGCCGTGTACAACAGTAATATATTAATGTCGGCCATGGCCAGCAAGCAAACAAGAGCAGCAACTATTCATCCACATAGTCCCCTTCAACACACGAGGGAGTTTCCTTCTTCTTCGCTGCATATGCCTACATGTTTCTTATTCTTAAATATATACTCACACGTGCCTTGTTGTTACTGTAGATAAACACAAGCCCATGAATCCAAGCTCATGGGAATTATTCGAGATAAACTATGGGAGTAGAGGCTTGACAAGCATGGACGGATGAACGCTGCCTATTTGGCAAAGCAAGGCATCCGCACCAACGAAGCTTGGCGCTGGCGATGCTGCCTGACTTTGCCAGAAAGAGGCTGGGTGGCCAAGACATGGAAATGAACTTGATTCCCAAAATAGTGCCGTTTAATGCTAACCAAAGATTGGAAATCACACCAGAAACTAACCAGAGGTGTTGTCTTGGTCACCATCAACCACTTGCAGTCATATTTAATGCAAAGGTGGCTACATAAGTTCCATGGCCTTGTAAACTATTGTAAAAGATGGCTATTTGCTTGTAGAATCTTCCAAAATCTTGCACATAGCCTGGGGAACTCACCGAATCTTGTACAAATGTTGTTTTTGCCTGCTATACTCAAGCACCTCCCCAAAGATGAGATTTTGTATGGTTGGGGACATTGCCAAAAATATACAATTTCCAGTTTTCGTTAGAAACATCGAAGCTTTGTTGGAACCGTTGGGCAATTCATGATGCCATTGTCACAGAGTTGCCAACAGTGCTTGCAACCATCGAAAATTTGACAGCTCACCCTAACTTACCTGCACACCTCTAAGCCATCAATAGAAAATTACAACAATACCACTGCATATATATAAAAATTATCTGCCCTTCATTTTGGGAGAGAACAAAAAGATAGACATACACAGCAAAAAAAAAAAATGGACATAGACATAACTTCAGCTTCTCTCTCACACACCGAGCTCCCCTCCTTCCTCCAAAAGAAATACTCCATCCTCAACCAACTCATCAGCATGCTAAAAACACCCGGAAATCACCATTTTCTCTAAGTCTTCAGCATTGCAGAACATTTCCCAGCACTGCAGAATAACACTCAACATCGCAGAACATTCCCAGGCTTGCAGGATATTATGGTTGGGCAACAATAGGCTATAGTTTTAGCTTTCGGGTAGTTCTTCTTAACCATCAAACGATCAAGGTCGTAAGGTTAGCATAAAAAAAAAAAAGAAAAAAAAAAGGGATCAAGTGTTCCATTCGTAAGCTCCCAAGCGGTCATCTTTCATTCTCCCATCACCACTCTCAAGTTTACTCTTTTGTCTTTGGAAGAGTTTCAAGAGTGGAGTTGTTGCATTTTTCATTTCCAACATGAGGATTGTTTGTTATAGAGTAAAGATATATAATAATAGAGATGAAGGAGGTTACATTTATTGTCATTATTATCATGTTACCATGATTTACATATGAATGTGACCCTCAAATTGTAATCTTTGAATCACATATATTTTTCATCTTTGCTACCCCTCCATAACAACAAACAACTTTCATCCATCATGTTTTTGGTAGTTGTGTAATCATCTTAACCTTGGAATCCTGCCATAGCTGCCTAACTCCATCAGCTCGGCTGGAAGATTTATCTTTTCAAAAGCTTCGCTAGAGAGTTCATTGCAAGGCATCATTGCCCGACAGAGTGGGATGGCCTATAGCATGTAGCCTTCCGCACGTGAGACGAGTGTTGTTGAAAGAACCCCCCATTTTCTCGAGTGTCATCCTAGTTAGCCTCCATGTCACCACAGCTACTGACTCATCCATCTACATCACCAACACCCCTGGACAAAATGGCAACTCCATTGGGGAGGTCGTCCTAGAGCTAAATCCTGTTCTGCTCTTCTTCAACGGCACAATATTTCTAGCTTTGTGCCTCAACAGTATTTATTTGTCTTCAATAGAATTTTCTGACCATGGTTATCACAAGGACAACCTCATCTTGCATTGCTGATGGAAATCAGGAGCTCGGCCAGGATGATGGGTGGGAGGTTCAGCAACCATGTCCATCAACAGATGTTTTTCATGACCTCTTACAAGGAATCACTGATCCCAGCCTTGCATCCCTAGTTCAAGTTATCCAGGTCCAGCACGAAGACCAGCAAATGACTACTCAGCTCTTCACCAACGTACAGAGCAAACATGCTGTGTAGGATCCAACACAACCCATCAATATGGCTAGAACTTCTCAGCCACATGAAGTCCATACTAGGGCTACCGATGGTAATGGAGGTTTTACTGCACAGCCGAACAATTCGGCACCACCAATAGTTACAGCTACCAATACTGATAGAGCTCCACCCAATGCAGCCGATTCTACCTAAGGTTATGTCACCATGGCAGATCTTACTACTCTCCTAGACAAGGAACATTCCAAACACGGACCAACCCATTTTCAGTTCGTTCATGGCCCACCTTATCCAAAGGAGATTCTATCCAAACCATACCCGAAGAAATATGAAAGTCCTGCATTCTGGCAGTATGATGGAAGGAAAGGCGCAACGCTGTGGAGCATGTCAGCAAGTTCCTTGATGCCATGGGGGCTCATGTTGGTGACAAAGATTTGTGTCTACGTGGGTTTTTGAAGTCTTTTTATGATAGAGCTTATACATGGTACATTACCTTGCCTCTCGACTTTGTCTGTTGCGCATCACCATCCTTGATCTCCAAAATACCCGCGCAATACATTGGTGAAGATTTAATGGTCTATGTGAAAAGATTCAGGGATTTGGCACTTGACTGCTATGGTGGTCATGTTGAGTCATTCTTAGTGGAAATTTTCATCAACAACATGTTTCCAGAATATTGCATTGTCCTTGACAACATCATGATTAATTAGTTTGCAAGGCTACTCGATGCCGCCAAGATAACAGCTATTTTTGTCAAAGCTATCTCTACTAGGAAATCTACAATGAAGTCGACAGAAAAGAAAACCGCTACTCACACTTGGGCTATCTCTGTCCGGGGCCAAGGACAAGGGTGGAAAAGGAGGAATCGTGACATGGCGACACGGCACTGCCACCACCTATTCCTCTCACTATCGAAGAACTCGACGTGCTCTTAGATCAGTGGATCGCTGACAGTGCCATCCACTACCTCAAGCGCATCGCAAACTGAGCGATGATGACAAGCGCAACCCCAAGTACTATCGTTACCATTGCTTTGTCCACCAAGCGACTATGGACTATTTTTCCTTGAGAAGGATTTATCATCGACGGGTCTCAGAAGGGCTGTTAGAAGTACCGAACAGAAGACAGAAGGTGGATGAAGATCCTCTCCCACGCCACAACCAAGGTGTCGTCAATGTTTTCACTCATGTAGAAAGCGTTGGAGTAGGTGAGCCAATAATTGAATTCCCTGATGATATGCCCAGTTACTCTGCTGTGCACTCCAATGAACTCCGAAGTTTAAAATGTTATTTGATCAGCTTGGTTTCATTACCGACACGCGACGAAGAGCCACAGAGGCCATACTCTCCATCGCCAATGAGGCTGGAGGAGAATGCCTCAACACTGAAGCACATGCTAGCTGCGCTTATCTTGAATCTTCTGATGCTGTGACATTCACTAACAAAGATATGGAGGCGCCATATCCTAACCATAGAAAGCCTCTTTATTTATTTGCTCAAATCAACTCTGCCGGTGTCAGGCGTACACCGGTTGAGACATGATCCTCTCTCAACCTAATACTGTTGAGCACCATCATCACTGCAGGAATCCCTCAGCGAAGAATTGTCAAGGCTTCGGCAGCAACAATGAGCTTGCCCTTGGATATGTGCAGCTTGAATTAAAGGTTGGTCTAATCCAATCTCAAACTACATTATATGTCATTGATGTGGAAGTTTCTTATCACATATTGCTGGGAAGACCATGGCTGCATCAACATAAAATTGTCCCTTCTACTTATTATCAATGCGTCAAGGGCCACCTAAATGGAAAGGTTTTCCACATCCCCGCCAACCCATTGCCATTTGATTAGACTGAGACTCACTTCACTGAAGCTGCTTTTTATGGTGAATTCACCCTTTTTGGCGAAGTGACAGTATCTCACCTAGGTGGCATTGCCTTGCCCACATGGAATGACATCAAAGATAAGCCTGATCTTGATCTGCGAAGTGTCCTAGAGCATAAAAGACAGAAGAAGGAAGTAGGAAAGGTTGTCCAAGCGCGTCCAAAGTGCCCTCAAACTGTTCTTCCTAATGGGAGGATCAAATATACTTTGTGAAGGTGCGTGGGGTCTCTTGACCATGCACGAGATAGACCCATCGTCAGTAGTGTAGCCATGTCTTTGGATCATCTATTCTTCACTTCGAAGGGAGATACTTTGATTGGTGAACGAGGCCTTTCCAACAAGGTAGAATGCCTAGCTCTTGAGGTTGGGAATGAGATTGTTGTTGAGCACCTAGATTTTTCTGGCAAAGCTAATTATCTAGTACAGCCAGACAAGCTACCAACCCTTCATGAAGCTCAACCGACTCTCATTTCTCTAGAGCCCCTCAAAGCTGTTGATCTTGGGGATGATCCAACAAATCCTAGGCATGTACATATTAACACTACTCTTTCTACGGATGAAAGAGCCAAAATGGTTAAGTTGCTTCGAGAATATAAGGATGTTTTCGCTGGAACTATGATGAAATGCTGGGGCTTGGTGGCACATTCTTTGAATGTTGATCCTAATATGAGGCCAGTTGTGCAGCCAAACTGTGCCTTCCATCCAAAGGTTACTTTGAAAATTAAAGAAGAAGTTGAGAACCATTTGGCTGTAGGATTCATCAAACCAACAAAGAAGCCGACTTGGATGGTCAGATTAAGTGATGCATTGACTTTCATGACCTCAACAAGGCCTACCCCAAAGATGAATTCTTTGTCCCAAACATGGACATGTTGATGGACAAAACTATTGGCTGCGAGATGTACTCTCTCATGGATGGCAGTAGTGGGTATAACCAGGTCAATATGTGCCCTAGTGATGTAGAGAAAACTGCTTTTCGGACCCCTATTGGTAATTTCTACAATATTGTTTTGTCATTTGGACTCAAAAATGCTGGGTCTACTTATCAAAGAAACATGGTGGCAATCTTTAACGATTTCATCCACGTATATATTGAGATCTACATTGATGACATTGTGGTGAAATCCAAAAACAAGACTGGGCCACTTCGTTGTGTTTAGGAAAGTCTTTAACAGATGCCGTCTATATAAGCTAAAAATGAATCCAATGAAGTGTGCATTTGGTGTTTCCGCTGGGAAATTCTTAGGCTTCTTTGTGAGTAAACATAGTATCAGCGTGGATCTGGCCAAATCTGAAGCTATCTGAGCCATGCAGCCACCTAAGAACCTCAAACAGCTATGAAGCTTCATTGGCAAGGTCTCATATATTTGCAAATTCATCTCTTCATTGGCAGAAACAATATCCGCATTTAGCCCTTTGCTGAAGAAAAGAGCCACTTTCGTGTGGATGGTAGAGTAGCAGCGTGCCTTCTTACATCTACAAGATCTCATGCTTAGATTGCTGACCATATCTGTCCCCATCCAAGGCAAGCCATTTAAAGTCTATTTGTCCACTTTTGACAAAACTGTGAGTGCACTGGTTGTCCAAGATGACCAAGAAGGCAAGGAACAGCCAGTTTATTATGTCAGTCGAAACCTCAAGGGCGCCGAATCAAGGTACCCTTTTGTTGAGAGAATCTACATTGCATTAATATATATGTATCTCAACGTCTTTGACATTTCTTGGCTCATAAGATACAACTCATCACCAAGTCTCAGCCCATTCGGTGCCTTCTAACACAACCCATGCTTACTAACCGTCTTGCTAATTGGCTCCTTCAATTGTCTCAATATGATATCACATGCATTAATCCCACCGCCGTAAAGAGGCAAGCTGTTGTAGATTTGCTCCCTGAATTTTCTGTCGAAGTCCAGTATCTTATTTCCGACGAAGTCCCAAGTGGTGAGGTTGCCACTACACAGAAATATGAGGAAGAATGGACATTATATTTCAATGGTTCTTTCACGGCTGAAGGGGGACCTATCTCGCTATGTTATTATTTCTCGTGAGCTAAACTATCGCCTCCGTAGCGAAATTTTGGCCAAGTGTGTCAACGATAAGGAGGCTTATCACAGACTTAGGGAGATTCATAATCGCACATGTGGTCATGATAGCCCTGTGAGCCTCTATCGCCAGGTCCAGCGAGCAGGGTACTATTGGCCAGACATGGCTCAGCAGTCTACTGAATTCCAGTAGCAATGTGTATCTTGTCAACAGGCTTACTATCAAAACGAAGAATGCTTTTTTGCTGACAGTGTTCAAGATTGGCGCCATCCTTACATGGAGTACTTCGCTGAAGGGATATGGCCAGAATCCTTGAAGGATGCACACAATCTAAAGAGATACTTGTCAAAATTTTTCATGGATGGTGGAGTTCTATTTCGTACTAACTTTGCCGGTGAGCCACTTCGCTGCTTATCATTAACAGAGTCCTAAAAACTCATGGCTGAAATACATGCATGGGAAGATGCTGCAGATTTCGTTCGACGATGTCACACTTGCTAGGTTAATTCTAGTCTTATCCATTCCCATCCTCATTTGTTGCAAGATATGAGAACTCTTTGGCCTTTTCATACTTGGGGCTTGGATCTCATCATTCTCATTCACCCTTCATTTGAGGGTTACATTTGGATATTGGTGGCCACCGAATATTTTACCAAATGGGTGGAGGCTATCCCTCTTCGCAAGGCTACTGGCCTAGCGGTGTCAAACTTTATCAAGGAACATATAATCTGCCATTTTGGGATCCCATACAAAATTGTAAGTGACAATGAAACTCCTTTTGTTAATCAACATGTGCAAAGATTGTTAGATACTTATAAGATCAAGCATCAAAAGTCCACTCCCTATTACCCCTAAGGCAATGGTCAAGTAGAGGCAACTAACAAAAGTTTGCTAAGAATTCTGGGCAAAATGGTTTATGAGTACAAAGGAGGGTGGAGCATTCATTTGCAAGATACTCTTTGGGCGCATCGAACGTCATCAAAGACTGCTACAGGTTTTTCACCTTATTTTCTAGTATATGGTTGCGATGCAATCCTTCCTAATGAAGCCTTAGTGCCAATTGCACGCATCTTGGGCTGGATAACAATGTTGACATCGGTGACCAGAGGCGAATTGAAGACTTGGAGTCTGTCGAGGCACTTCATCAAATAGCACAAGAAAAGGCTCAGAAATACCGAGCCAAGATGACAAATGCCTACAACCATGCAGTCAAGGCTAGAGTCTTTATAGTTGGATAGATGGTCCTTAAGGCCTCTGACCATGTAAGGAAGAACATCGCTGGACCATCCAAGTTCACTACCAATTGGGATGGTCCTTACATCTTCGTGGAAGCACATTATAGTGGATATTATCGCCTTAACACTCACAAGGGAGAATCGCTATTGGATCCCATGAATGCTAAGTGGCTTAAGCCGTACTATTGTTAAGCTTCACCAACCTCATTTATTTTTGTAATTTTATCTCTGGTGTTGTCATTTATTCCAGCCAAGAGAATTAGTTTCATCCATGGTGTATCATCAAATGTAAGATGCAAATAGTACCCTCTTATTATGTTTGGCACTTTATGTATTGGCCTGTTTAGAGTCCTTTTATTTTGCTCTACCACTGTAAAAGGATAGGGAGTGTTCAAAAAAAAAAAAAAAAAAAAAAAAAAAGGGAGAAGAGAGAAAAAGAAGAAGAGCATCATATAACATGATCTAAAAAAACAAAATCGCCCTGATCCATTTCTTCAAAACAAATTTGTCTGTCCAGTTGATATAATTAGAGCAGCAGAGAGAAACGAACAAGAAAACAAACAAGCAACAAGGTCCAGACTTCGTTGGAAGCAAAGATGTTCAACCCAGAACAAACATGGTTAAAGAGTTACATCATGGCAACATCACCAACAGTCAGCATACTATAAAAGAAAAGGAATCAAAATGAAGAGAAAGTTGGGACACGAGATTGATTCATGGTAGGAAGGGGCCTGGCTTGCCTCCAAAGGCTTTGGCAGCCTCCATACAGGCTTAGCGGAGCTCAGTCATACCGTTGGAATCCAGATGTTCTTTTTCTTGATTGAGCAATCCTAGGTAAGCCTTGGCTGACACTAATCCTTCTTCTAGTTTGATGACAAGTTCTCTTGTCTTGGCCAAAGACTTCATCTCTTTAATATGCTTCGCTTGCTCCTTGATTCGCTTATCCAAGCCCTCAGCCGTGTCACCCTCAGCTGTGTCGAACTCAGTCTTCCCAAGGTATGCCTTTGCCAAGTTTGATAAATGTGTGCGAAGGGCATCAACTTTGAGGTTTATACTCTCAGCGTCATCAAAGGCATCCGTAAACAAATAGTAGAAATCCTATTCATTTCAACAAAGGGAGTTACCTCCATGTGTTGCATGGTCGCACAAAGGATTGAGAAGGTGTACTCGACCACCACCTTTTTGGCCTTGTTGCGCGTTGTGAGATTTGGAAAAATGTTTAGCAGGTGGCGTGCCCACGGTTCCAAAATTGCAGGCACTGCAAACCTACCCACTGCTCGAGAGCCACTTAGAGGCACTAAGCCAAACCGGGCCAGTGAGACATCCCTGTCCTCATTCATCTCGTCAAAATTCTTGAGTAGCCTCATGGCCGAATCGTCGATCTTACCTGACTTAGCTGGAGTCGCGAACAGTTGACCATTATGCTTAACTTTGCTAGGTCCGGCAACTTTCTTCATTGAGATCATGACTGGCATGCCAATGTCCATTTTGCCTTTGCTGGAGACAGATTTCCTCACAACATCGCCCACATATGATTTGAATTCTTTGGGAGCAGCCCTATTCATGTCAATGCTGCCTTGAAAGCCCGCAACTTTGCCCCTCTGTTTGGAACCATTCTCACTCTCAAATGAGGCATCATTGCTACTGGATTGATGGCTGCTACTCTCGTTGGGATAAGAGCTGATTACCTTGGTGACCTTCTTTCCCTTTTCTTTACTAGTACCGATTGTGGCCTTGGCCTCGCCGTTCTCAACATCTGGTAAAGTGAATGGAGGCATGGTTGATTAACAAAGAAATACGTTATTCAGCCAAGCAAGATGTTAAAATTTAGACTATTTCATTGAATGGCTGCAAGTACCCTTTTCATCGATGCTAGCACCAATTTTCCTCGTTGGTATAAATCCCCCAGGAACCAATTCTAAGTCACCAGCCCTGAAAGGAGGGTAGTTCACTAATGGGATGCAATTGTGCACAAGGAGAGAAAAGTTAACAACTTCCCCTTGGTAGTTATCAAGAATGATTTTCAATTTTTATAGAGATGCAGGGGATCATACCTTCAATACCATCACTTCCGGCTGAGTCTTTGTCGTTTAGGCTTCTTTATCACACTGGGGGTACCATATGAGACTTTCACACCTCCCTTAGTCTATAAAAGAAGAGTAGGGGGGGGGGGCTTAATAAGCACATTTTGGCCTTTCTTAAAACAAGGGACAAGTCTAAATGGCTTACCATAGTACGCTTTTGTGGTAGAACATCGTTTGCTTTAGCCTTCTTTGTTGACTCAGCTATGAAGGATGTAGGGTCACTCCAATCAATGATAGAGTCAACAACATTAAATATGTTGTCGGGAAGTGGAGACCCACCTATTTGATTGGCCAAAATTTTCTGGCAAACTTCAGAGTTCGCCAAGGCTTCCACCTGTTTGGCCTCTTTAGCTTTGGACAGAACTTTATCGTCACCAGGAATGGGGATTAGACCAAAGCCTTCGCTGGAAGTTGTTCACTGCTCATGCAAATATTAAGTCACATGTCAAAGGATCCTTAGTGAGGTCAAGAACGACCAAGAAGGCAGATAGACGAAAGGTCGAACAACATGCTTACTTGGAACAAAGCACTTGAATCATAATACTTCTCACCCAAGCGCCTACCACCACAAACAGGTCTCAATCTCTTGATCTGCTCAATCACCTCGGGATCTGGATCACCCCAGGAACTCTCATTACTTTCATTACCACGACTTGTATCTTTTTCCTTGGCAGTTTTGGCCTTGGAAAGTGTGGGCACTTTAGCCTTACTTGGCTTGCTAGCTAGTGAAGCGGAAGTTCTACGTGCTCTACTCTTAGGCAAATGGGCAACACTCTTCCTCTTACCCAAAACCAATCTCTTGGAAGGGACAGCTTCATCGGCTCCTTTTGCAATGTCATAAAAAAAAAGAAAAAAAACACGAGAACATGAAGCATTCTTCGGCACTAATCCAATCTAGCCAAAATCTTGGATGGGAGAAGAACCAAAGTTTAAGGTAAAAGGGGAAAAGAAGAAGAAGAAATAAGAGCATATTTACCTTCAGCATCAACGTCGCCAGCTGCCTTTTGCCCAAATTCTTCATCAATGGCACCAGCCTGGTCATACTCCTCCTTTGCCATGCCAGGAATGGGAGGACAGATGGGTACCCTCCCTTATCCTCCCTAGTTAAAAACCCCCAAGATTGTTTGCCGCAATAGCTCAAGAAAGAATTATTGTGGGTAAAAAGACGTTCGCAATCCCGGGAAGCAGGATCATACTCCACCACTTCCGGCAATGATTGAATGAAAGCTTCAAACTACTTCAGCAGTATCCCCCAATACTCCAGCATGGGTGGCGACATGGGTGGTATTCTCGCAATGCTAAAAAACCTAAGTGTGGCAGCACCCTCGCTCTACATGGTCGTGGCAACTTCATCAATGTAAGGCTGCATGGCCCTATTCCAGTTTGTCTTGTTCGAAGAAGGAGTAGAAGGTACATGATGGGAATCAAGATGACCCCACATGTACCACGTCAAGAGAGCCATTACATATATTCCAGGAGGTCCAGTCAAGAGAGCTAGAGCTAAGAAGATGCGAGAAGCTTTTAAATGGCCTTATTGAGCAGATCTGGGTTGATATCAACATGCACAAGTAAATCAAAGTTTGGATGATTGAATCTGAGATTTTTGAGAGACTTTTCTCTTTGGTTCGTTTCAGAACTTTACAGAACTTATCAAGATTATTCTTGTGGCGTTCTAACCTGACTTATCATTCTCGTTCTTAATCGTTCGAGAGTGTGGCGCGTCAACCAACCTTATACCTCTGGTTCTTGTTGCGTCATAGACAACGGGTCAAGGTTTTTACCTTTGGTTCTTGTTGCGACATAAACAACGGGTCAAGGTTCTATTATAAACCTGATTTAGCTTTCCTGGAGTTTAGAAATCCCTTGTTGTGCTGTGGGTCTCATTGTTCTCTTTGGGGTTC